TATATATATATTAGGGTGCCATTAATTTTCGAAAGTCGGAAAATTGCCCGCGGCACCCCCCAGATCGGTTCATTTTACTAAAAAAATAATCTGTGTGAAATTTTAGTTCAATTGGATAAGTGGAAATGGTGCCCCAAGAGCCTCAAAGATTGAAAAATATCGATTTTTTCCATAAAATTCATCTTTGATTGCTTATATCTCCGACATATTTAATTTTACAAAAAAGTTATAGATCTATTTAAAATAAACAATTCACTCATACAAAGTTTTTCTGTATTTCTAATAGTTATTGAATAAAACAAAAAATAAGTTGAAGTCACCCGATTGCTAGCTTTGAAAGTACTATGAATGTAATTGTCCGCTTCAGCTTTACAAAAAATTTGATATTTCTAAAAAATTTAAAATAAATTCAATATTTCCAAAATTTAATCTTTCTAATAATAAAAAAGTACTAATTCTAGGTTTGTCCGACATAATTTTTATTATTTTAGTTAAAGTTGCTGGAGCAAAGTATCCTTATTACCTTCAGTTATTTTTGCGCGATCTATTGATACTCTCCTGACTTCCTTGTCATCACTATCTATATTCAAATTTGAAACCATCTTTTTCTTTGTCTCAGGTGATATATTTAAATCCAAAAAAGCAAAATGAACAAGCTTTGAGCTTAAATACCAAATACAATTTTTTGATATTGACTGAGAATAGAAAGAAGATTAAAATCTTGAAAATGAGCTTTGACTGATGACAAAGCATTAAACCATACTTCAACATACACTTTAGTAATAAATATACATATATCGCAAAGAGCATTTTCTTCTTCTGTAGATAATTTGAACTCTTTCCTAAATAAAAATATTTTTAATACATGCATGACTTTCACCATCCATCTTGCATGATGTATAGCTCCAGGAGGTGGAAACTTTATGGTACAGTTCGGCTTTTCTCCTAAAAATATTAATGCAAGTTCCAGAAGTTCCTTATAATCATCTCTTGGTTGGTTATCCTTACGAATCTTATAAAGGAAACTTGTAATTCGTAACACATCATCCATATTTAACGATTTTCTTACTTTTTCATTTTCTAAGCCGACTGTAAAGTTATCAACGTTTATTTTCGGCCAAAACTTCTGAAATCGTTGAATTAGT